GAAGTTGAGCACGTCTCCTTCATCTCTTTGAAATCATTCCAATTACTTCAAGGTCCTCAAGAACCTTCCACAATACATAATCATGCACATACAATATTTTGGTCAAATTTATTCAGTTTAAAACTACAAATACTCAAAACTCTCGGAATCATCCTCGTTAAATTACAATACATAGAATTTTGGTTAGTTTTTGGTACGAAATCAAACCTTTCTTGGAATTGTCATGGTCCCACAGAACAGGAATCTACCTCTACCTGACCCTCTCAAACCGCTATAGCCAACCCCAAGGAATACCCCCTCTCCGCAGTCTGCCCGTAGCTCTGCCGGTCCCTGTTGGAGGAAAAATCCATCGGCTGCTCCTGAAGCCCCAGGCCTCCCCCAAACCTGGCCCCGTTGAGGATCACTGTAGGATGCTTGATCGTGGAATACAGAATCCTCTCAGGATTCGGCGATATCACTGTAGATCTGTACAAAAGCGGCGATCTTATGAGGTTATCGGGCCCTTTGATCACGCTGTCGGCCAGTCTGGGTACGACCGAGACGATCACTGGCGTCGGAGATGCGACGCTCTTGTCAGGCGTTGGCGTGGCTTCTCGAGACCCATGACGTCCGTTCATGCGCATGCAGGAGGATTCCTCGTGCTTGTACAGGTAGGATTTTAGAGCGAAGGCTTTTCCGCAGCGACCGCAGACGTGGGGCTTGGTGTTGGAGTGGGTTTGTATGTGCGCACGCAGGTTAGACTTGTCGGCGAAGGCTTTGTTGCAGATGGTGCACTTGAAAGGCTTCTCACCTGGAACAAAAATGCTATGGTCAATACTATTGAAAATATACAAACTGTTGAACTATCAGTTGCCAAGCATTCCAAAATATTGAGTTCAAAACCCTCCTCTCCCAAATATAATGTGCCCTCTGTCGAAAGATGATTTAGAAAAGTGGAATCTGTTTTCACATCCAAAAAACTACTACTATGTTCATTATTTCTCTTGGAGAAGGTTCTTATCGTTTGACCAATATAAACTCGAAGGAAAATTCCGATTCTTCACCTCCCCAACTACATAATACATCCAAGGAGTTCTTCAACTCTCAGCATTGATTCCGCAGTCGCAGCCACGCGACGACTCAAAGGAAAAGGGAGATGGGTTCAGATTTGAAAGAGCTGAAGAAAGTGGATCCGAGAGAAATGTAGAAAAAAGGATGACAGCAAGTATGACTCTCTTTTTTCTGGTATACCACACAGTAAAATTATATCGCCAATTGATGTACAATTTGCATGTAACAATCATCTTGCTCCCTGGTAGAAATAACGTCACAATTCATAGAAAGCAAAAATGATAAATTTTTCAGAAAGGGTGTTCAACGCACCTTTATCATTCAGGAATTCAATCACGTACTATTTTGAGAAGATTTACATTATCCGAGTTATAGGAACTGGATAACAATGGACCGTTTTTCAACAAATGACATCTCTAATCAGTTGTTTCTGTGGCAAATATGATTAATAAATCGAATATTTAATCAATTTTCAACACAGTTGTGATCAATCATGAAACAAATATAGTTAGATTGAATTCAACTCCATTTGAAACTAAAATTCTGGGATTTCAAGCAGATAGAGAATCTGAAAATTGAAAAAAAACTTAAATAACTGAAACCTATATTCAACTAAACACATACAGTACGGCTGCAATTGCTGTAATGAGATTTGACAATTTAGTTACCAAAACAAACAATATGAAACAGGTCAGGGGCATTATTCATTATTTATAGCTTGAGAAGTAGTTGTTAATAATATTTTTTGAAATATTCCCAGCTGAACGCCTCACACAAAATATCAATTCCCAAATTTATTGCCTCAATCTTAATTTCCAACAAATATATATGTTTCAAATATATAAATAGAGTACCTATATAACTGAATCAGTATTTTTTAACAACAGGATTTCATTGTTGCAATCTATCGTGCCTTGTAATACGTCGCGTAGGTATTCATTTGGATATCACTGAAATTCAGAATAACGTTTCTGTTCTAATTAAAATAATTATAGTCTTTATGCCTTCTAGGAAATGATCCCCAAAAAATAGAATTTTACTGCATTCACTGAATGTTCAAATGGTGGCTGTATGCATTGGACTGGGACAACCACAACTAGAGGGAGATTGAAGAATTGAATTGTGATTGATCACTATATTTCACACAAAATTGAGATTGATTTCAATCCAAACGACTGGGATTAGACTGAACTATTGAAATATTCATTTAACTCGATCAATGTCGATACCAGTGATTCAATTGTTTTCTTCTAGACATGATTGAACCCAGATTGAATAGTTGAATTATCTTATTGAGATTGATTTCAGCTCTTCCAGTTTCGGTCTCACTTTCGTGGTATGATATAATACAAATGTATGATACTTATGATTATATATATAGAAAAATTTCAATTTCAACTCAGCTTTCGATGTACTCAAAAATTAGACTATATAATTGTATAATCCAACCCCATTTTGATTATTGTGCCAGTCTTTTATACTCATTTGACATAATGATGTATCGGCTTTTCAAAAATTACAGAATCGTGAAATGAGGATTATTTTACAAGTTAATAGGTGGAACAGTATATCAAACATGTTTTTGAAGAATTCTGTATATAATACAAGACAAGCAAAAAACTACTAGTTAAATCATATGCTCAAAATTTGGGGAGAAATCAATATTTCATTTAGGAGTTAAAATATACAGGGCTATTCAAATTCGTTTCTAGGGCAAATTTATTAAAAACAATAACGAAACGACTCTAGTTTCGATTAGATCAAAAGTATAAGAGTTGACTTGTGATTTGTGCCCGAAACTCTATATTGGCCAAACTGGGAGAACCTTTTCCCAAAGAATTAAATACGACACGATTGTGTGTTCCAAATTTGTGAACCAGAAAAGCATTTCAATCACTGATATGTCGTGTTACATGTAGAAGAACTACATGAAATTAAATCTTTTGGAATACTTGAAAGTCGATAGATTTTAAAATTCCCCTTCATCGATCGGGTTTTCTCATGTTGAAATTCGTAATTGGTTGATATATAATACAGGTAATTTCATCACAGATTTTTATTTCTGTAATATTTGAACTCGATTTATTATTTCAAAAGAAATACTTTCATATGAACACTGAATTATATAAAAATAGTTTTTCTCTATTCAGTTTGTATTCCAAACATTCTTTATGGAATCGAATCAGATATCATTCACTAGATTGCTACACAATATAGGGCATCATTGTTTAACTTCTAGGCCATGTTGCTTATTTGTTAGTAAATGCGCAGTCTTTCGGAAATTGAAAACCCTTCAACCATATTATTTATTTTTCACTGTTCTACAGGTTACATCCAACTGCAGAATGAGAATATAAGCCAAATTACAATACAATAAGTTATGAGTTAAAAACAATACATATAAAATTAGCGGAAGTAAAAATCCCTAATCTAAGAGATGGAATATTAAAAAATGTCGAGTTAACAACATGTTGAAGTGCGTTTGACACACATGTTATTCTGCAGAGGTGAACGTTTCACAATATTTGTACTTATTGTTGGTAGATAAAAAGGATTATCTACTCTAGAGGTTGGTCTAGGTACATTGAAATTGAGTTTTTACAGAATATGTAGGTCAATAATTAAATTATTAATCAGTTAAAAAAAATTGTGGAGTGACAATCACGACGGCAACTCAAGCTATTCATAGCATGTCTAACTAGCAATGCATTATGGGGAAATTGGTGGATATATATGTCTGATCTATAGGAGACAAATTTTAGGAAACTACGTTGTACTGATTCAACTTCCTCTGTATACAACTGATGAGATGGGTTCCAGATTGTGGGTGCAAATTGTAATTTTGATCTAACGAAGGCATAGTATAAAGTTTTCGATGTAGATGAATCCGATAAACTCCTGGAGATTCGTGCAATTAATCCATACATCCTGTTTGCAGATACAGAGTGGATTCAATGTGTAGCATGAAGGAAAGTTTTGTATCGAAGGTATTGTGTTGAATATTGATAAGAAAATGAGTGACTCTTTAGTGTGTGTCATTACATTACATTTACTCGCGTGTAAAGGAAGATTGTTGCAAAAACACTATATCATACTCGTAGAACCTGAAGGGTCAAGAATATTTCAACTTTTTCGTTAATGCCAAGCATCAACAACGCAATCCCTTATTGCATAAAGGCTCAGTTTTCCAAAAAGATGGGACTCCTCTTCATTACGTAATACCAGTACAACAGTTTCTCCATGAAAACTTTCTGGATCGATCAATTGGAATGCGCTATATGGTCACCTACAACTCCCGATTTGACTCCACTGGACTTTTTTCTATAGAGACGCAGGCAACTAGTGTACATAATTTACTGCAAAAAATCACGAAGTGCTAAAGGGTACTAACACTTGATATTCTTTAGAATGTGAGGGGGACAACGAGAGCTCGTTTATAACATTGAATGACAGGTATCAGTGCTCAGTTTGAACATTTGATGCATTGGATTTTCCTATTCAATCCCAACACTGTTGTAGAGTTTGAAACATTTGAAAATTCCGACATGAGGGTTGTAGAGAGGGATAGCTGAGAAGAGATTGATTTTTTCGTGGAAATTTGTTTGTCTGAAAATAAAATTGACGTATTTCATGACTTTTTTATAGTGCCAATATCAAATGACTCACTCAGGATGGCTCACTTCAACTCTTGTGTACTGTACATGTGAAATTTGTTATGGTTTGTCGTTCAATCCATTACATGGTAATGGATTGAATATTTTTAATATTTTTAAATTTTCACACGTCTGAGAGAGATAAAAACAGAACACGCGACAATCAAAGCCGAAATTTGGCGCCACATTTCCAAATATCTCCACAGACTTATCAAATTATTCAATAAATCTCTGCCACTCTTGCGAAAAAATATCACGAGTTCATCGGTCCAAAACAGAACAACAACAAATAATTACCTCGACGCCTTTCTGCTGGAATGCGGGAAAACTGTGGAAAAACACCAGAATCACACCGAAAAACTTGAGACTCGTTAGTCGAGCCATGCTTATGGACCGCGTGGCGGCCTATCAAGAAATGCTGAATCTATTCCTGTTTACGGATGACCCTTGACACGGTGTCCCCTGGAAGATATCGAAGCGTTAAGATACTCGGATTGTTTTATACACATTGATATACCCGGTGAGTTGAGCTTTAAACATGTTCTTCCAACCAGGACTTATGAACTTTGACGACCATTTTGTTAAGGCTGCACCTGTCAAATTAGTAATCATTCATTCAATAAATAATATTACTGGAGTTTTTCCCAACACCAAATCGTTATTTTTAACACCTCGACTCGATATGACTCCGTTAGATTTTTCTTATGGGGTTTTATTGAGTCGCAGGTATATGGGAATGAGCCAAAAACATATATAATTTTGAAAATAATCAAGTATGGAAGAGTCATATTTGTTTCATTCGTTTTCATGGTTACGTCAGATATAATCACAGAGACTGAAGTGATTTGTAGACTGCTATTGAGAGAGTACAGCATCCAGAAAAGTTGAATGCATCGGCTAAGATTCCAGAAAGTACTATTGCTGGTTCTCTTATCTTTACTTGTTGACTCCTACCTCTACTTGGTTTGATGCGCTTGTTGGAAACAGGCATCAACTCCTAGAGAATGATTTTCTCAATGGGGTGACACTTTCTCTACGTGACTTTTCAGTTTCCCCAAGATTAGCAGGAAAGAATGGCCTCCAAAATTGCCAGATCTAACAGCATTGGACTTTTTTTTTATTGGATTATCCAAAAATTGTAATTTCTGAACCACGACATACTTTTTCAGATATTCTTATTTATGCAATAGTGGTATAATTTACAAAAATAACCTGTGAAATGCTACCAAATATTTAGGAAAACGTGGGATAGAGCTTTTCTTACTGTATGTTGAATACTTGTTTGATTATTTCAGTGAAACTTCCAACAGGTTAATTTTAAAATTTTATCTATGTGGAAAGAGATTTGAAACTATTTCAAAATGATGAAGAAAGTAGTTTACTCGTATATCGTAATCATAATCAATGGACAAAACCACCACACATCATTGAGAGAAATGTATATCTAAAATAAAAAATCTGGAACATCTGTGATTTGATTTTTTGAAAGAGTCATATTCTAAAGCTGCACAAGAAACAATGTGAATTATGTAGACATTGAAGAACTTAGCTCTAATACATGTTAACTTCATAATTTAATGACTAAGCATTTCTTCCTTTTATGGATGTTACTTACCCTCGCTTCGTTTTACACCCAATAAATCATAACGATTTTACGATATGTGAAGAATATCTGTGTTTAGACTGGTGCCGTTTTTTCTTAAACTCATGGAGTGAAGAATTGAGATATNCGCTTTTGCGTAGACTTTCTTGGCAAGTATTTTATTTATTAATTCGGCTTTATTCCAGAAAAAGAAAAAAAATACAAGTTTTCACAAATTCAGACGTGATTTATTTAAAACTTTACACAACACATAAATGTGGAATCAATAAAAAAAATCTGTTTGAAATCTGTTTTTCCGTTAACCAGCTGTCGAAACTTGTGCGAGCTAAGGATTAACGAGGTCTTATCTTTCAACTTGACAAGAAAACAGCAACGAAAAATTATCATTATCAGCATCAAATAATGTGTTTAGCCCTCGTTTTCCGGCAAATTCTTCCAAATTGACACCTTGTATATTTATAGGCTCTAGATTGAGGAATATCACAAAGATAAATAGTAGGAATACCTTGGAAACTGGAAAGTAGTGGATATATACTGAAATTGTGTCAATGAAGGTCAAAATATGCTTACTGGTGAACAGTTTTTCAAACTCACGTTAAATATATTATGACAGTTGGCGAAAATATAGAAAGAAATAGTTTGGCGAGGTTCATTTCCTACTGATCAACAAGTGATTCATAATTTGCCTACTCATTGGAACACAAAATATATCCCACTTAAATTTTAACGCAATTCCATTTTTATCCGACCGAATAAACCTTCATATTCAGTATCGGAATCATCAACGACGTATATTTTTGGCAACGGCTGTCATTTCACAGTTGGAACCATTAATTTACACGTGTCAAAATTTCGTAATTAGTCGATTTTCCGTAGCCAATCATTTTTCAAGTCACATGTTAGTCCCAGATTCATTAATCATATTATTTACGGTGCATTTCAATAATTTTAAATTCAGTCTCATGATGTGAAAAATTAGGTTGGATTTGGATTTCTGAACTCAAATTATCACTTCATTACACAAAAAGGAGACAGCACGAGTTTGTTGGTGGCTGAAAAACACCAAGCCAAATTCGTATTGATCACAAACGTCCGTTTGATAATCATCGTAGAAGTACCAAATGAAACAAACTGGTCTACAAATGCACTTCAATTCTCCTGTTCAGTTTCGAAACTAAAACAAATTCGAAGGGTCATAGTTTTAGGAGTGACTAATTTCTGGGAAGAAAAGTCTTGATACAAGATGAAGTAGTAGAAAGTCAAAAACTTTCTTTCCTAAAAAATCTTCAATATTGTCTCAATTCATAAAAAAATTGTGAAATATCCCAGTCTCTGTATAATGAGTAGAGGATCCCTATGAACGTCGAATTATTCATAATATCAAGTTTTTGGNCTAGGATGTCCTAAAGAAATAAAAAAATATTATTATTATTAGGCAGCTGTGTGTCCCTGCAGAGGGTTGTTCCGCAACAGGGTTGAAGTTAGAAGCTTGAAGATGTTTCTGTCGAAACAGACGAGATTTTTCAAAATTTCATATAATTGATATTAAATTCAGTTCAAATAAAAAGTTAGGAAAATGTTTCTCAGGAGATTATGTTCTGAGAAAATATGCAAACTCTAATGATTTCACATGGAAGTATAGAAGATTTGCGTCTCATTTTTTCAACAAAAAATAAAGATTTAAAACAGTACTGAATGAATCGAAGAGGTTTTGTATGAAAGTGTATAATTATAAAATTATTGCAAACCGCTTTCGACTTTCCTCATCATCAGTGCTTGTCTACCTGAAAGTAAATGATATAATTGAAGGGAAGTTTTTGTGAAAAATTGTTCATGATTACTTACGAGGACATAGTACATTTGTAATATTTGATTTATATAAAACACAATAGGCTAATAACCAACGAAATACATTTTTTAGATTGAGGCCATGTTGTTCAGTAAAAATAGGTATTATAAGAAAGAAGGGAAACTTGGGACAGAGGAGTGAGGAGGGATCCATTATGGATTTAAAAAAATTTGTTGCTGTGAAGAAGGTAATATAGAATAAAGTATTTTGATAATAAATTTTAATTAATCTAATTACATTTCATAATCCTTCTATGAAGGGGGAGAAAATCTCTGTTTAAGTTTACCTGAGTAATTAAGCAGTGATCACTATTGGAAAGTTCTTTGAAAATCTTCAGCTCAATTTTATGTGAAATTTTAGAATTTCTATTGGGGCTAAAGTTGTGATTGTGACATTCAATGTGGTGGCCAAATGCAGATTTTTCAGGTATTTTTTAATGTTCATTAATGCGAGTGAACAGAGATCTACAGGTTCTACCTATGTAGGATGCGAAACAATCAGAACAGTCAAGCTTATAGACTCCACTTCTATGTAGGTAACTTGTTAATTTTGTCTTTGGAATATACTAGACAGTTCCTCAAATCATTCTGAGATTCAAATGAAATTTTCGTACCAGGCACGGTATTTTATATAAATTTTGAAATAACGGTTCACATATTTTGATCAAAATAAGGTAACTAACCAAGGTGGTTAATTTATGAATANAATAAGATCTTCACACCCCAGTATTATTTTGTAGATTTCCTGGGGCTTTTCTCAATAATGGTGATTAGTATTTATACTTATGTGTATGTATTATCTTTATCGTTGCATTTACACTTATATTTATAATTATATGTATGTATATTTATATTTATGTTTGTATGTATATATTTTATTTTCTATAAGACGTATCCTATATCATTTTTTGTGATCTTAAAGGATGTAATAAATATAATAATATACTCGTATTTATGTTAGACAATGCGAACGAAATTTCTAAAAACGTTCTCGAAGTACTGAAGTTGAATCAAGTTAATATGAAATGAACATTCTCCAATAACTGTATGTTGACGATTTCCACGGACGACATGTATTTTGTGACACAATGACAGATTTCATAAATCAAAACCAAAATATTTTGCACCATACTGATGAGCATACGTATTTTTTCAATGGGCATGTTAACAAATAGAGTTGTTGCTACTGAATCGATGAGAATTCGTGACTTTTTAGGCATGGTCACACACAGTATTCAGAGAAACTGAACTATCAGACTGATATCTTCGAAAATACCACCATAGGACTTTCATTCATTGAAAAAATACAACTCGGATCTGCTTGAAGACGTAAAACACCCCTTAATAACAACTAGTTTGGGAAACTGATGGTAATATCATTTTGCAAGACGAACTTATTCATTTCTAACAAGATGGACTACTTCCACCCCACTTTTTTCCGGTTGAACAGTGGCTGAATGATAGATTTCCTGCCATATGATCGAAAAGAAACAATAGAATAGCCACCACGATCACCCGACTTATTTTCTGTAGAATTGTTCTGTGGCGGCATCTGAAATTGCGTTCAGTTTAAAATTTGGTTACAACTTTTGTGCAAAACAATCTCAAGTAAGTATCATTTTATTTCATCAATCTTTTTAAAAATCTAATTTCTGACAAACAATTAAATTTTTTGATGATTTAAAAGCTTTGTTGTGTTTGGAAGATACATTTAAAACGATTGTTGATCATTTAAAACGATTATTGATCATTTTAATTCGGCGCTGGTATCGAGCGGATTTATCAAGAACTTCAAGTGTTACATATGGGCAACATGCTAGTTCATTTATAGTACGACAAAACGCCGTGGTGCCGAATAAAAATTATCAACAATCAATTCAATTCATGTACACTGAAATTAAACTAACAAAATAATCCAGCTCATTTCAAAGGAGTATTAATAAAAAGAATTGGAAAGAATTGAATTGATTTGTTTGTTGCATTTCAGTGATACATGAATT